TCTGTCCTGTTGATGAATAAATTCTTTATAGCAGATGGCTTTTTTATGGTTTTAAATCCTGACAGTACATTGAGGAAAATTGTTTTCCATCCTTTACTTTCCAATATTAAATAAAAAGAATAACTCACTCCTGTTTTGAATGTTCCTGTAATAAGTGAAGAGAAGTATGTTTATGTTTGGTCATCAATCCAGAATGCAAAAAAGCAAGATGTTCAGCTAGTCTTAATCTGGAAAAAGGGGCTCACTAATGATCCTTATTCCTGTCCAGCTTTGTTTCCCTTCCAATTATAAATCACCATTACCACTGTCTCCAGTGGGTCTGTGCTGTAGTCTGACATCAGATATCCTTGTTGATGTTGATCATTTTATCTCTTGCTTCAAATCTCAGAGTTCCAGTAGAAATGATTGGGATGTGACAAAAATGTTTCATTGATTACTTTGTCTTTATTTTTGGTGGGTGTCCATGAAATCCAAACAGCAGCATTTATTTCATTGTTCTAATCACAAAAGTGACAAGATAAACACAGGTGTCTCAGTTCCACTGTTCAGAAAGATCTGCAGCCTCCCAGATCTGTCAAACCATCTAGCTTTCTAAATAGTACCACTTTCTTTTGGTGTTCTTGCCTCACCAAGAATTCTGTTATGATCCCTACAGAAACCGATCATTTTTGGTAAGGTTTTCAAACTTCTAGTGACTGACTGAAAGGATCAGGAGAACTTCAACTTTTAGGACTTTTTTTCTATAACAAACAACTAAAAGCAACATTATATTAACTACTGAAACAATATTTAATCAATCTAATCCATGGAAAGATCTCCCATTTAACAATTTAAAACTACCTAAACTCTTCCTCCAATGTTTATTTCTTTATCCCTTAAGTAAACACTTTGATTATCAGGAACTTGTCCAAAGTATTCTCAGCTCTATTTTAATCTTGTTTTCCAGGCAAATAGCTTCTACTCCCCAACTGGTTTTGACAATAAAGGATAAGTTGGAGGTTCCCTCTAACCAAAGCTAGGCAAATTATCCCACTTTTTAAAAAAAAATTGTTACAAGCCTGTTCTCTTCAACTGAGCTTGAGCTCCTACCTACCCATGTAGTCAGTCATGGAAACTAATTACCTTTAGTTCTATGTTGCTTTCTCTTTGTCTTCTGGAATATTGCTAACTGACCCAGTCTGAGGTTCAGTGACATTTTAGGGAAAACCTGTAAATTGATCCTTCAGTGTCTCCCAGTGGACCCTTCCTCTTAAAACCATTTGCATTCTATATCAATGTGAATCACATGGGCCTAATATCCAGGTAGAAATGCTAGACCCCCAAATCTATTCTATACTAGAATGAAATAAAGAGCTGTTACAAATGGTCACACCTTAAACTAACATTCCTAACACTCCCTAGCTGGGATTTAGAAATTTAACATTTTAACCACTGTCAGCATAGCTGATTGGCTCATTGTTGATAGGTGTGAATATTGCGCATCTTTTTCTCTATAAGACAACCCAAGTCCCCTTTAACTCTTAACAACGAAGATTGGTAGATAAGATTTAGAAAAGGTCCCATTATGATTCCGTTTTATGTCCAAAAGAAACAGTCCCAATATGCAACAATGTTACACACGTCCTATTTGTAACAATCGCTTTCCACATATTGAGATCTTGGACCTCTAGCATTTGCCTTCCATTAATTTAAATGCTTAATCTCTTTTCCTTCTGTTGCAGTTTGACTTTAAGCAGCATTTCAGCTTTGCACTATTTGTATGGCTTTCTTGTTTGTACACATCTACTGCACAGTTTAAACTATCCTTTTTGGGGTGATTTGCATAATTCACTTTTTTCCATCAGCTTTGTTAATTACAGCTCAAAGGTTACTTGGGATCAAGTCTACCCTTGCCTTTCAAACTTGACAACATAATTATTTCACCCCTCCCCCAAAACCTCTGCTATGTGTCATATTTTAACTTTTGCCAGGTTGTGTTTCGTCTGCCACTACTTAACCCTAAACCGTACTTTACCCACCTTTCTTTGTAACGTATATTTCAATCAACCTGCTCAGGCAAGTGATGAGACATATCCAGGACAGGTAGGATTGAGCCCTGGCCTCCTGACTCAGAGGTAGGAACATTACCATTGCACCACAGAGCCCAATCCTTGTTATGTAGTTTATATTTTCTAAACAACTTTGAACAAATTGATTTTACACACCTCTGGAGTAGGTGGGACTTTGAACCCCAGTCTCCTGGCCAGAGGTAGGGACACTACCACTGTTTTCTAGAAGCTGAATTCTGCTGTACTTGCTGGAAGTGGAATGGATTTAAACAGTTCAATTTTGCCTGGATGCCATGAATGTTGTGATATGCTTTGTGGTTACTTGCCAGTAATGCATTTATTTTCATTTATTTTCTGAAAAATGTCCAGGCTCATTATTTACTATCTCAGGTTAATGATAAACTTAAAACCTCTTAAGTTCTTGTTTTTATTTGTGGCCATTTCGTACGTTAAACTTAGATTCAAAGGTAATCTTCAGGATTTTGAAGAAGAGTCTTGCAGGACTTGAAATGTTTCTATTTCTGTCTTCACAGACGCTGCTAGACCTGCTGAGTTTCTCCAGCATTTTGTGTTCATTTCAGATTTCTAGCGTCTGCAGTATTTTGCCTTTATTATTTATGAAATGTTGTCCAATCATGGATTGATATCAAATGGCAGGCACTATATTTTGAGTTTTGACATGGAAAGTTGTTTCCTCTTATTGGTCAATTCTGTATTAAAGAGCATTGTTTTTAAATCAGAGGTCACTTTTTTTAATTGAACGGAGATGAGGTGAATTTCCTTTCTCTTAAAGGACTGTGTGGCTTTGGAACTCACTGCCTCAGGCAGCTTGAGGTGCGGTTATACATTGTTTTTTTGCTGGGAAGGGGAATATCGAGGGTTATTGGGATAGTTGGGAGTATGGAACTGGAAACACAACCAGATCAGCTAGGATCTTGTTGAATGGCAGAGCAGGCACAAGGGGCCAAATGGTCTTCCTGTGTTCTAATTCTGTAAGCTCATACGGTCTGTACTCTTTTGAGAAGAGAGTAGGAAGTAAACAATTGTGTGCCGCCTCTCACTGTTTGTGTGGAAATCCTTTGCTGAGAGGCTATTTTTATCTTATGCATGGGAGGGCAGTGACAATGTGCATCTTTTATTTGCTCGCGGGAGGTGGGTGTCATTGGCTTGGTCCAGCATTTATTGCCTGTTCCTAGTTGCCCTCGAAGGTGGGGGTGAGCTGCCTCCTTGAACTGCTGCAGCCAACCTGCCTTGGGTTGACCCACAATGCCATTAGGGAGGGAATTCCAGGATTGTGACCCAGCAACACTGAAGGAACGGCGATATATTTCCAACTCGAGACAGTGAGTGACTTGGTGGGGCACTTGCAGGTGTTAATGTTTCCATATATCTGCTGCCCTTGTACTTCTCGATAGTTGTGGGTTTGGAAGGTGCTGCCTGAGGATCTTTGGTGAATTTCTGCAGTGCATCTTGTAGATAATACACGCTGCTGCTACTGAGCAGTTTGGAGGGAGTGGATGTGGTGCCAATCAAGTGGGCTGTTTTGTCCTTGAGTGTTTTTTTGGAGCTGCACCCATCTGGCTGTTGCCCACTGCCTTCACCTTCCTCAGGAAAAGGTTTTTAAATTGTTTTTCTGAATACCATTGGGGATACGGGGAGCAGGTGAGTCGGTGGGGTGATTTACATGTTAATATGGCAGGACCACATGCTTGCCTGTGACTATACTGGGACAGGCTGTGTTTGTATGGCAGACTGATCACTGCCTGAATTGAGAAGAAATCCAAGCACGCACAAGCTGTGTGGCTCAGCCGAATGCTGCAGCTAATCTGGCATTTGTTTGTATTTGCAATTAAAGCAGACCAAGTAAGGAGAGTAAAACTGGGCAGTATTTACTCGAGGCAATGAGCATGTTCTGAACAGGCTGGAGTGCTGACTAGAGACCCATGCCTCCTCTTTTACGGATAGCATGCAAAACTAATTTTCATTTCGATAATTAATTGCACAGTGACTGCCCCCTCCATGGCTCCAAAGGGTCTGCTGTCAGTGAGACGTGTACCTAAGATCTGGAACTGTCACTAGATCTGAGGCTGTGGGTGGGTGGTGATGGTGGTGGGGGAACATCAGTTGAGGGTTGTCAGCAGTAAGGGCAATGGGTTTGTAACAACTGTTTCCAAGGTTGTGCCCCTTGCTCAGTCATTTGAGTGTCTTTGCAGGAGGGAACCCTCCTCCCAGCATGTGACCAACCCTTCACAAATTTCCTTGCCACTCCCAACATTAGTTGCCAACTTAAGGGTCTTAATTGACGGCAGAATGGAAATGCTGTTCGTGAGCCTCCAGCAACAGGCCTGGGGTGATCAACATATGGCTAGGTTTGTTGAGGCAACTTACAAGCGATTGGATGTTATTGCAGGGACTGTAAGGTCATTGCTGATGAAAGAGCTAAGATGGTCTGTTATCTGCATTTACCTTTTAATTGTGCAACTTCTTTCAGCCTGTTCATAGGTTCAAGTGTGGCCCTTTTAATTTCATTACAGTGCAAAATCATCTGTCTATCCTTTAACATCAGATTCTATTTCCAAATATTAATGTTTATGTAAATGTGGGATGCATTTCGAGACTGGGTGTGTGATTATTCCCAGGACAGGTCATGAAGGCTATAAATAAATCTCTCATATTTGTGTGATGCTCTATGTGTAAGGAAGTGCTCCATCTGTGCATAATGGCAGCTCACAGCTCGCTGTTTCTTTGTGTAGTTACAAATTTGCTTTTATCTGGGGGTGTGCTTCTGATATAAAATATTTTCAGAGCTTTGTTTCTTTTTGCAGATGAAATTTATTTCAATGATTGCAAAATTAAATATGATAAGTTAGTGCACACTTCAAAAATAGTTCAGTGGTTGCAAAGTCCAGTCTGTGTAAATTCAGCATTGTTCTTTTGGCTTTTTTCAATTAGTTTATGGTAGTTCAAGAACCCTGTCTCATCCTGGAGACTCCTGAAACTTGTAACAGTCGTTCTGCTAACCAACTGTGAGTAGCTAACACAGCATTACTGAGAATTGACGTGGAACTTAGTTCTATGTGGCTCACAAAATAATGTTGCTCACTAAATTAGCCAGGAACCAGCTTTACCACTTCTGGAACTGTTCTTTCGTAATTTCTTGGTTTTGTAAAATTGTCTGGCAATCTACAAACTTTCATTGTAAACAATCTAATCTTGGGGTATGTATGGGGCCAGACCTATAATTATTGACCATCTCTTAAACATTCTGGAGAAGGGGTGACGTGCTGCCTTTTTGAACTGTTCCAGTCCATGTACTGATTGTACTCTGAGCACGATTATATAGGCAGTTCTGAAACATTGACTCAGCAACAGTGACATACAGGTGATGTACTTCAAAGACAGGATGCTGTGTGACTATGAGAGGAATTTGCATTTTATGGTGTCCCATGTATCTGCTGCACTCTTCCTAGGCAATACAGGTTCTGTTAATTAAACCTTTGTGCATTGCTCCTGTTGAAATTATAGATGGTATGTGCTACAGCTATAATGTGCCAATCGTGGATGAAATGTGGGCTGCTTTGTTCTCAATTGTGTTGAGTTTCTGAAGAGGTTTTGCCACTGCACTCATCCTGGCAATTGGAGAGTAGTTGTTTTGGTGCTATGGAATTTTTTTCATCACAGTCCTGAATTGTGTCATTTAGCTGAGCGATGTTAGAATGTGAGTTAATTACCACAGAATATCCACCCTCTTACCTGTTCTTGTAGCTAAAGTATTTGTGAACACAGCCCAGTCCATCACACAAACCAGCCTTCCTTCCATTGATCCCATCTATACGTTCTGCTGCTTCCAGAAAACAGCCAATATTATCAAAGACCCCTCCCACCCCGGTTATACTCTCTCCCATCGGGCAGAAGATACAAAAGTATGAAAACACATGTCAACAGATTCAAGAACAGCTTCTCTGCTGTTACCAGACTTATGAACGAACCTCCTGTTAGAGTTACTTTCTCTGCACCTTCCCTGTAGCTGTAACAGTATTCTGCATTCTGTTCTAGTATCCTGACGTACTTAAGGTATGATTTATCTGTTTAGCATGCAAACCATGCTTTTCACTGTATTTTGGTGGTGTGACTGTAATTCATCAAATCAATAATGTGGCTGGATCAGTGAACTTTTTTAGTGCATGATGATCCCTTTGCTATTGCTGATGCAGAATGAAGTAAATTCTGTCACTGACTCCTAGTGTTTGCTATTTGGCCAATTCATTGTGCTAACTTGGTCACGTGTGATTGTGGATTGCTTATACTTTATAAAATGGACAGAGTCTGTTGGCCCATGTGTAAAGTATGTCCTTTTTCTCCAAGTTTCCCAGACTTCCTGGTTTCTGCTTCCACATAATTTAAATGTCTGTCTGTCTCCAAAGACAAATCTTCCTTCGGGCTAATAAATCTGTCAAAACTCATCAATAATTTTAGCAACTTTTGTCTCCTGAATTCTCTTTTCAAAATTCCATAGTTGTAGTTCTACACTAATCTGTACATGTTAATATTGGAGTCCCCTGAATGCTAACCTCTTCTGCTATGTCTTGCTATTTCAAGAACCTTGTTTGTTCTGATTGAAATAATTATCAAAAGCTGTTAGAACATCTTCAAAAGTACCTATGTCTTTCATATTTTGGTGTTTCATAACATAGTCAGGTAAAGGTCCAGTTGAACACAGTAGTGTATTTACTTGTTCATCTTGCGATTTAGTATTGATGCAGTTCCATATCTTGAGAATTGTTTTCTCCAAGATGTCCAATCCTCTATTCTTTTGCCCTATCACTAATGTTTTCTTTTGAGGTGGTATTATTTCACTAGTTGCTGCTTGCTGTGGTTACTTTTTTAAAAAAGTTGTTTTACTGTTTTAAATTTATAGTATCTCAATGTTGTTTGTGGTGTACTGATATTTTAAGCTAATTCTCATTGCCACAGAAGGCAGCCAACATTATCAAAGACCCCTCCCACCCTGGTTAAATCTCTTCCAATGTTAAATCTTCTGTCAGGCAGAAGATACAAAAGTGTAAAAAAAAAAAAACACATGCCAACAGGTTCAAAAGCAGCTTCTTCATCAGTTTTTGGACTTCTGAATGGACTCCTCAAATTTCAAATCTAATGTTGATCTTGGTTTTTGTACCAGTCTGTGCTTCCTCTGCACAGATGCTGCCAGTTCTGCTGAGTTTTTCCTGCAATTTGTTTTTTGTTTCTGATTTCTAGCATTTGCAGATCATTTGTTTTTGTGATATTATGTTATTTTCCTTCATCATTTTAATGCTGCTTTTTTAAAATTTGTTTTTGTTCTATTTTTAAGTTTCAGCCAGTCTGTCATTTTTTTGGAAACCATTGTTCACATACTTTCCAATTTCATTGTTTACTTTGTGTCAACCCAGAGTTTTACTTGCCCATGCTCAGACATGAGGGACTGCAGAGAGATACAGGGATGCCAGAGTTTTGGATAAATGTCGAGAGAAAAATTTGAGAAAGGGGTACAAGAAGGGGTTTGGGGGGTGAAGGAGTGATGCATGAAAAACAGTAGAAACTGGTAAACAAAATGGAGCTGGTGGGTATGAAATACAAAGAGTGAGGACAGAACAACCTTGCCAGTTCTTACACAATGATGCTATAATAAAATTGGCGTTCATGCACATTGGACCCATAATAATCATGTATTGAGGTTACCGACAGTAGAGAATTACCCCATGGACAGTTCTCACTTGCCCTCTTACCATCTTGTAGTAAGACAACTGCTTAATGCAGCTTTTATGTTTGGGTCGATTTTAATTCAGTTTTTAATATATTAAAATGGTACAAGAGCCTGATTCTATTAGGAACAGTTTAATTGTTGATGGATTGTTGATTCCAAGGACTGTTTTTGTTTAATTGATGGATGCAGGTTTTATTGGTTTAATTACTGCATCATCACTCCCTGCACCATGGGATGAACATTATGACTCTATTGCCACCAAAGCTTTTTATATAAACCTCATCTTCTTTCTTTTTCCTTTTCTCTTTGTCCATTTTCAAGCTGTTAGTTGTATTAAACCCCCAGCTGATTCCAAATGCACCGAGTATGCCCAAACACACAAAGCAGTGCGATAACGTAAAACCAGTGAGACGTTGACAGCTACAGTCACAGGACTGAATGTTAGCAGCCAGGTTTATTTTCTAATTCTGAAAGGGATTCTTTTTGGTATATTTGGAACAATTGAATCTGGGGAACCAGAAGCCATTTCACTTGCAACATGTATGTGCACTGCGACATAATGTCCAACAAATTTACAGTGACTTGGTTTTGAATTTAACGATGTTTTAACCCTTTAATGCTTCATGTCCAAACAAAGAAGAACTGCAGATGCTGGAAATCAGAAACAAAATGAGGAACTGCTGGAAAAACTCAGCAGTGTTCTGAAGAAGGGTCACTGGACTGAAAATGTTAACTTGGATTTATATCCATATCTGTTTCATACCTTTATACTGTACTGTAATTGTACCTTTATTTAATTTCCATTGTGCCTGGAGATTCTGCCAAGGCTGTGATTCAGTTCACATCAGTGATCAAACAAGTCATATTCCTATTCTGTGGTGACTTGGCTGACCAAGTCCTGAAGGGCTGACCAAGTCCTGAAGGGCTGACCTCCAACTAGGAGAGGAGGTCGCTGAGATACTCTACAACTGCAGTCCCAAAGCTAATGCCTTTTGCTAGGAACTTAGAGGGTCAAATTTATACCAGTGGATCCCCTTATGCGACTGTTTCCAGTCCAAGGTAAAGAAGAATGTTACTTTTTATGTATCTCTCTCAATGCCATAAGCGGCTCCATTTTGTCAATCTAATCCAGCCCTTAAATTTTTATTCAATCTCTAATTCCTCCTGGTAAATTCTGCCAGTTTACAGATTTGGATACGTAACAACATTTATGTATTATGAAAGCACATTGAAGAGCAAAAAGGATTAGAATGAGACCCCTCTGCTGTTAAATTCTTAACCCATGTCTCTCTCAATGGCAGACTAAATTTTCCAAAGTTATCCTTGCCAGCCTTCCCATTTTCATCTGGCACAAATTACAACTTCACCACATTGTGGTGATCCACATCTTCACCCAGACGTGAGCCCACACAGACAAAAACAGGAATTGTTGGAGAAACTCCGCACATCTCGACAGCATCTGTGGAGAGAGAACCAGAAGCTACACGACACCAGTTTACAGTCCAACAGGTTTATTTGGAATCGCACAAGCTTTCGGAGCGTAGCCCCTTCATCAGGTGCAGTGAGAGAGCAGGGTACACAGACACAGTTTATAGGCAAAAAGATCAAGGGCTGGGAGATCAAAAGATCCCCAAACAAGTGGTGTGAGTAGAGTGTCAGATGATAAGTGCGTGCAGGTGACCAGGAGTGTTAGACGGTGTGTAAAAGTGTTTATAAAGTCCATGTCAGTGCTGTGCTATCATGACTGACATTGTCAGTGCTGATATTTGCAGTTCAATGTCGTGTGGCTTGTGACTTTGTCCACCCCAGTCTAACACCGGCACATCTACGTTGTGGAGACAGAGCAACAGGGTTAATGTTTTGAGTCTCGAGACCTTCAGAGCATCCCATATACATTTGCCAAGTTACCCATCCTTCCAGTGTATTGCCCCGGTCTGAATAATCAGTTCCTATTTTTCTCCGGTAGCAAATCAATCCCTATTTTTATCAATCTTGTTGCTTCAGAAATTCCTTGCCTCAGCACTCATGACTTTTTAAAGCTGGAAAATGTCTATAGTTTTGTCAAATATCCTGAGACACACTGGCCACAAGCTATAAAAATGTTAGCTACAGTTGAGACACTAAATGAGGTTAGTTTGGACTTTCCCCATTTTAGTTCAAAAGCCAAACTCTCCACGTATTTCCTATCCAAGAAAATGGAAATGAACAACTCCTGTGACTCTGTCAATGGCATTTCTAAGCGGAGAGCTTTATCTCAGGCTTTCTGGCCATATTTTCTCTTGC